TTTGTTTTTTTTTGAAAACGCGAAAATCTGGGTCGGTCGGACGACGCTAAACAGAGAAAAAAAGGGGGATGGCCTAACAAACGAGAAACAAATATTTTAGCTGTCTTGGGCTTTGAAACAACTTTCGAAAGAGATACTTTTCGCATCAATCCGTTCGGTACTTTCCGAGAAATAACTTTCAAGCGGGTTAGGAATTAGAGTCTTGGCGCTTTGTGTTAACCATTCATACAGGGGAATGACATGACTTCTATTAATTTTTTAACTTTGGAGAAGCATGTATAATTTTCCTGCCCTGTGAGCACTGTGAAAATATTTCCAATGCTAACAATGTGGTATACATGTAGTTCAAAACAAACTTATTTTTCTCTTAACCCGTCATATTTTCAATTTCGTGTTTACTGTAGTAGTCGCGACCCGATGAAACTTGGCCATTGCCTGTGCGGTCATGGGACCTAGACTAAAAATTACTTTGACAGCGTGATGCGAAGCTTGAAATAGATTGAAAAAGATTATACCGCACGGGGATGTGTTTTCATTTTCATTTTTTCTTGGCTTGTTACAAAGTCGTCCCACTAGACTACATTATCTCCATGATGCGGCAACTGCAGTAGCTCCCTTTTTCCATACGCATTATATTCGAGGTCATGCCCCTAGCCTATAAATCAATTACGCTCTTTTGTAGCAGCTTGGGAAAAGAGAGTGGTTGAAACAAAGTAAGACATAGTGATTGTTTTTATTATATAAACTGCAATGTTTTACAAGGATTTCCATTTCCTGAGAAAAGCCGTAATTGAACACGTGTAAAATTACGATTATTTCACTCTGATGATATCGATGACGTAATATATAACTGAACAATAGCCTCTATTTGGCGCGAGAATATATATATCTTATTAGATTTTTCGGTGTGTAGTATTAACCTCTTACTAACCGAGCGCGAGGGCCGTACTGGGGAATATTGGCCCGAGGTCGTGGCAGTACGTACCGAGCACAGCGAGTTCCGTACAAAAACGACCGAGGGCCAATATTCCCCAGTACGGCTCGAGCTAGCTAGGTTAGTAAGTAGTTTAATATATGGCACTCGGGCCATGCTTGTTTGTTGTCTGTTAAAACGTACTTCCGGTCACTTGAATTCAAAGGGCTTCCGCCGTAACATGTTTTTGATGACGCGAGCAACTCAGAAAGAACAAGCCACCACGAGTTTAATTTGAAAACAAGTTTACTGACGATAAATCATGATGAATATAAACAAGACTTCAAGAACGATTTATAACGGAATTTGACAGAGGTCTCAACAGCTGTAGGTTGAAATTCGGCAAAGGGTTTCTGTCGATCCTGGAATATTTTGATTTGCGCATCACAAAATATGGATGAAGAAAAGTCAAAGTTGGTTGTTGTGAAAATCATTTAAACTTATACACAGCTGACGAAGAAGCAGCCTTAAAGTAAATCGTCCTCGTCACTCTCGATAACAATTCGACGCTTCTTTTCATTCTGGACAATTCTGCGCTGAAAATTGGAAATTTTTGCTGGCTCGTACTCTTCTCCATTTTTCCTGCGTGTGTTCATAAAAAAAATTGCACAAAGGTGTTCAAGCTCCGTCGCAGGTAGGCTTTCAGTTCTTTTATTTGTCATACCGTTACCTTCCAGGTAGTGGAGAAGAGTGTTCATTTCAGTAGCCGTCTTCTTATTTGTGTTTGCACTTTTTCGTTTGTTTATAAAATCGTCTATGGCCTCCTGACTTTCGCCAATGCCTGTGTCAGTTCAGTCTACATTAGACGTTTCCAGATCTCAAGGACAATAAAATTCGCTTGGTGATTATTCGTCTTCCTCGTCCATGTTCTCTGTAAAATCTCAATCTTTTAGGTAGTTTCTTTGCGAAGAATGAGAGTATTTACACGTTTTCTTTTCGTAGTTTCAGTTGCAAATCTCGAATTTGCCGACTTTCGAAAACAAAAAATACACAGCGTATGACCGTTTCCATGG